AGAAATGCCAAATTTTCAGCTTGAGATTAAAAGCTGATTCCTCTCTTAGGATGAGAAGAAAGGCTTTGTCTTTAAAATTCTCCAAACTTCATGTGTGGTAAACTGCTATTATTATAATATAATAACAAAAATAACCAATATATATTGAATTGTTACCATGGGAAGACAAGTGAACAAAGAAATCAAACCCCTGGATTTGCCTTTTACTGGCCAGGAGAACTTACTCCAATACTTCAACCTTCTTAAACTCCAGTTTCCTTATTTAGTAATTGCAGACAGTAAAAATACTTGTCTTACCACATCACAAGACTATTATAAATATCAAATTATCATTGCATTTTGTAATTAACAAGCATTGTAAAAATGTTATTCTGAATTGCTCTTATAGGAAATCCCACTAAGCAACTTCTCTGTTAGCCTTGCTTGACACTCCAAAACAAATGAGGTACCCCCACTATGTGCATAACACCCATACTTTTCCAGTTATCTTACCAAACACTCAGTCTTCAATGTAACTGCTGCTCATTTGTTTGTATTGTCCATTAAACTGTAAAGCCTATGAGGGCTTCCCTTCTTCTTCTTCTTCTTTTTTTTTTTTGAGACAGTTTCTTCCCTCTGTTGCATACGCTGGTCTACAGTGGCGCAATCACAGCTCAGTTTACAGTTCCACTAAATTGTAAATCCTATGAGGCCTCCCTCCTTTTTTCTTTTTTTGAGACAGCCTTCTTCCTCCCTCTGTTGCCTAGGCTGGACTATAGTGGTGCAATCACAGCTCTCTACAGCCCGAACCTTCTAGGCTCAAGTGATCCTCTCACCTTAGCCTCCTAAGAGGCTGGAACTACAGGTGCACAACACTATGCCCAGCTTTTTTTTTGTAGAGACAGGGTCTCGCCATGTTGTCCATGCCAGTCTCCAACTCCTGGGCTCAGGTGATCCTCCCGCCTCAGCCTCCCAAAGTGCTGGGATTACAGGTGTGAGTCATCACTCCCAGTCTCCCATGTTGTCCTGTTCACTATCATATTCTGAATGCCTCACTCATATTAGGCACTCAATCAACAAACAAGTAAATCTTGAGAGAAGAAAAGTTCTTCCTTGCAGTCTTTTGCTAATAAAAGTCCTGATAAAGAAGATACTTAATAGCAAACTCAGTGTGTGCTAAATATTGACTGGTAAAATAGAGAAAATTAGATAAATACTAGAATATAACCATATTTATAATTACATCATTGGAAAAGAATAACAATGCTATCAACTAAGGAAATATGACTCACCATCATATTTTGCTAGGACTGCCTGAACATCTGCATAGGCCTGTAATTCTAAAAGTGATTCTAAGAGATTTTCATGGATGTTCAACATGGTAAGAGGAGGAAATTCTTTCATCAACTGTATATTAAAAGGAAAAAAAGATTAAAATCATAACAAAGGAACTCAATAGAGCTGAGCCAGATTAATTAAAGTAGAAATTCTTGTTTCTTAACATAGCTATGAAGAAGACCTAACCCTTAAGAAAGGTACATATATTAAATAAACACCTTGTTCTAAAAACTACCAATTAAAAAACAGTGACTCTGCATTAAAATAACTGGCAACTTAACTATATTTTAGTTTGTGGAGGATAAATGTAATAGTCCCACCATCAATTTACTTACATCTCGCATTATTTTTACTGCTTCTCTTATTCTTCCTAATTTTCTTGCACACATTGCCAATCTCCTTTTAATATACACCAGTACATTGGTATCTCTCCCTATTTGGAATAAAAAAAATACAACTATCACTTTTGTATTGTGGGCTGCTATTTCATTAACATATCCACTTATTTGCTTCCCTTGGAAGATTCAATTAAAATTAAATTGTGTCAGAATGGAAGAATACTAATTAATTATGGCTACATTTGGATGATGAATATTGAACAGGAATGTTCTCTATTATTGTGCATGTTTTAAGTTTTCTGTATTAAAACTTAAAATACACATTTAATTATTTTTGCCTCTTATAATAACCTAATTACAGTATATATAATTTGTGTATGATTGATAAGTTTATTTTAACATTAACAGAAAATACATACATACATTAAAAGGAAGATATAACATTAACCCAGTATTTTAAATTTGTGCATAAATGATCTATTATTCTGATATTCTCTATTGTTTTAATTGAAAAACAAAAAAGTCCAAAATAAAGTTTCCATGGCTAATGTAAACTTTTCTTAACAGTGAGTAATTGACAAACTATAAAACTACTTCTAGAAAGAGCTAACAAATATTTCTGTAACTATCTCATAGCCATATTTGAGATTATACAAAGACAAATGGCATGACTTTTTTACAGATGCAGTTTCATTAGTTCAGGCTACAAAATTATATATTCCCACAAATGTGTGTTATAAAAATGTGCATCAATGAAACATACCATATATATCAGTATTTAGCTTAGGGAGAAAAACATTCTCCAAATTTTAGTTTACAAACAAAAAAATATTTAGAACTTAACTGCTAGTAAATAATACATTATATAAACATATTTCAATTTATTTCCCACTTCACTATTTGCCAAAATTGTGAAACCAAAACCCTCTGGCCATAAAAATAGCAGGAAGCAGCATCACTGATGATTCTAACATCTTTGGTAAAAAAAAAAAATCTCAATCATAACTGGTAAAGCATATTTAAGAATCGAAAAGACTTCTGTTGCTATGGTTCATTTGATCCCAAGCAGATCATGGAGAAAAACCAACCAAAGAAAGAATCAGTGCCAAGTATGAGGCTGGATTTAGGGCTAAGAATCAGACGGCGGGAAAGGAGCCACTCCCTAGCACTATATGCAGATACAGAGTCTGAAGAGCAAACCAAATAATGTACCTTCACTCTTGCTTAGAGTGAGGGTGAGGATAAAGATAATAGCTGCTTATTATCACTAGAAGCCTCTCCTGAATGCTGAATGTTTTTGAGTTATATTTTTTCAATGAACAGCCCAATTCTCACATGAAATAAATTACTGTTAAGTCTCAGAGCAGCACATCTTCTCTCAATAACCTGAGCAGATCTACTCCCTTCCATAAGCTTTCTCTGGCTAATACACATTTCTGTCTTGCTGGCTTGTAGGTATCATGAATAGATTAGTTATTTCCAGTGAAAATTAACTAATCTGTAAGTATTAGGTTATTATTGTTGTTTTGTGTTAAGACACAAGCAAATTTGAAGAGCTAAAAGACAGTAATAAGCAGTTGAAACTTGCTTACTCAGTTGAGCTTCATGCTGAGGACTTTGGTGCTGGCATTGCTGCGACCGCCTATAAATTGTTTCTCCTGCCTTGAGCGCCTGTTTAAATAACCTTTCAGCATCTACAATAGTTGTTGCTTCTTCCTCAGCCAGTAGAACGTATGCAGTGGCACAGCTATGAAGAAAGCAGGAAGGCAATTTTAAATAAAATGATATAGCAAGTATTTTCTCTTGGTTATGTCCCTTTGCTCTATGTCGTATTTCCTTTCCTACACTTTTTCCACCCTTTGAAGAAAAAAAAAACTTCACTCAATATTTTACTTTAATAGGGACATATTGGTATATTCTTTATGTCTGATTCCACAATTTTTCTGCTCTCTTATCTTTTTCTGCTCTTTATCTTGTCCTTTAAAAAAAAAAATTCTGTCTCCTCTAACCCATTGTCCTGCATTTTCTTTTTGTGAAAGGGGGGAGAAAATATATATATATATATACATATATATATATAAAGAATTATCTGAATTGTTACTCAGAAGACTATACCCTCTAGTGGTCATAACTGCTTTTTTTTAAGACAGGGTTTCACTCTTGTCGCCTAGGCTGGAGTGCAATGGCCCGATCTTGTCTCACTGCGACCTCTGTCTCCAGGGTTCAAGCAATTCTCCTTCCTCAGTTCCTGAGTAGCTGGGATTACAGACATGCGCCACCATGACAAGCTACTTTTTGCATTTTTAGTAGAGATGGGGTTTTACCATGCCGGCCAGGCTGGTCTGAAACTTCTGACCTCACTTGATCCACCTGCCTCAATCTTCCAAAGTCCTGGGATTACAGGAGTGAGCCACTGTGCCCAGCCAGTCATACCTGATTTAGTCACTATATACTTTATGATATCCATTTCACAGGGCAGGTATAGGGAGGGTGAAGACTGGGAAGACAGTCCTTTAGCCAACTAGGCACGTTTAACATCTAACTCAGAAACATATTCCAGGACTAGACATTTTCCCCAAATCTAAGCACACCCCTCTGCATTCTGTCCCATCCTCCCATGGACTTATCTACAATATTATGCAGTATAATTTCCCTTGTTCTAAATTCAAGTCCTTCCTCCCATACTCCTACTCTCATTCATTCCTCACAACAATGCTTATGCCAAGTTTTCTTTTCTTCACCCCACTAAAACACAGAGGCTTTTCTTTGTATCTTTTTTTTTTTTTTTT